GTCTTCGTACCTACAGTAATGTAAACACCAAAAAAAACTTAACTGACCCCTGATTCCTACAGGCGGCGGCTGTGCAAAGTTTCGGCTACGCTGTGGTTTTGTTCCGTCCTCTGCCAGCCATCAGTCAACTTACACTGGAAGTGTTTTAGAAGTGTTAAGCCTGCCCCATGTTGATGATTTGTTGTTTAATTGTCTACTCTAGTACTTCTACTATCGATCACAGCACTCTGTGAACCGGTTCTGTTCCTTTCTCTGCACGGCCTCATATCTCACATGGATCATTTCAAAGTAAGAGCATTTTGCCTGCCTGAGTTTTTGTTTATTTGTTCAGTTGTTCTTCTGTCATGGTTAAGTAGGCTATGTGGTTGTTGTTGTGGTTTGTTTGTTCTAACCGTGTTTGTGGTTGATATACAATCGGGAGTATGCACAGGGTGTTTTATTTTGAAAAGACTGGATTCTATATGCCGTTTCTGTGTCTGACTTCTAGCCCGGTTCATCTGTTCTGTGCTGCTTGACGCAGCCTTCGTCAAAAATAGACTGGCTGCGCATTCTGAGGAGCGTAAGCACAAGCAATGACTAGAATGGCTGCGATCGGCAGCCGCGGCGCAGCCGTAACGCAGCGTACACGCCACGTGTGAGTCCGGGGTTACAGTTACATGACAACTGTATGCGCTGAGCCAATGTGGCAAGTGAGCCTCGCTGGTCGATCTGCCACCACAGACAACATTCATCAGTGTTCAGTATTTGCTGGGTGTTCTGACGCAAAGTAAAAGCATCAATGACATTTTCACAGGTTGGTTGTAGGGGTTCAAAACAAACATGAAAACCTACTGTAGCTCCAGCAGAAGAATGCTGTGACAGTGGCGGGCAGGCTGCAGCAGTGCTGAGTGCTAAAATGGCTGCTCATTCTCCATACAGACACAGAGCTTAGTGGGAGGAGGAGGAGGGCTCCCACTACCAACAATTTGCCTCAAATGTGGCTCATCCTTAGGTAGGCTTAACAGCTTGTGTGAAGAGCTAATAAAAGGAAATGCCATCGCCATTGCTTGCAATAGACTAAACATTAAACACATGGGATTATACTCCAATAAGACATATAGTACTCTTCATCAAGCAGCCAGCAGCAATTTCTTCCCTCGTCTGCCCACACATCCCATCAGTATGCATAATCTCTCTCTCTTTAAACTAGAGATGTGAAAAGCTTGTCTTCTTGCGTGACAGGATTTGGTTAAGGAGCTTCATCGTTTCTCCACATTCCAGTTGCATTTTGGGGGTTGAGAGAGTGCACCCATCATTGATAATATTTGTTTGCGCATATTGTTTGATCTGTCTTATAAGTTACAAAGTTAATCAGACAGAATCTTTTATTTGACATTTGAAGAAGCGACAAAACAACAGTTATGACTGTTCTTGTTTACAGTTGGCTTGTACTACGGCAGTCAGTTATCACTCCGCTAGCAGCTTAAGTCTCTGTACTCTATACCCCGGCTCTTATCTGGTCTACATCTTAGCCTAGAGAGGCCCAGGTACAGTGCTTTCACTGTGCATAACAAAGTCTGCAACACAAACAGACTGCCTGCTATCAGTGAGTGTACTCAGGCAAAACAAAGTAGTAAATTGCAACACAGAAACATATTGATTTTTTAAGAAGTAACAAACATTTTTAATATGATAAAAAGGGATTTCAACATGAAGCTCAATTTTATGTTAAAAACACCAAAGCTAATAATAGTTTGTAGCAGTGGTGTCCATCGGAAAATCTGTCTTGAATAAACCCAGGAAATCATCGCTAACACGTTCTCAGAGACACATTAATGATTTTGGGATCTATAAATACAACTGACTTGACTTGAAGTTTAAAAAGCCTTGAGCTTTTAATTATTCAAATAATATAGCTAGCACTACAGCGTCTTAGAAATCAGTGCAAATCAAAGCTTCACATACCTCTGTTTCCTCTCACAGACACATTCATTCATTCACTTGGATGAAGCTGTTCACAATATTTTGTGCTGTGATTCACAATTTTTTCTATTAGTATTTACAACCGTATTTAAAATTAATACAAATGGATTTATTTAAAGCACCTTAAAACCGCACCAGGACCCAAACGCCTATAAAAAGCAAATTAGGTAAGCAAATTTAAAGTGAAGCTTGTCCATTATATTAATCCAACGCTGACTTCTTTTCTTTGTCTTCCAACTATTTTGAGGACAGCCAATCTTTTATGTTAAAAACAATGACTGACCGTATGAAAACCTGCCCTTCATGAGTTGTAAGACTGAAACTAGGTTTGTGTGGTATCAAGGTATTACAACCAGGGTATGACTTTAAATACCATCAAAAATACTGACGCTCTTCTTTCTATTAAACTGATATGGGGATGCTGTATTGAACTGATGTACTGTACACCCTAAACGCTGCGTGAAACTGCCTGACATCATCTACAACGTGACAACCCCCTTCACTTTTCCAGCAATTGGTTAACAACACACACACAAACACACTTTGGCTGCAACTTTTATTCACTGACAAACTTTAACCTACACTGTAAATTTGCTGCTCACCTTTTCCTCCTCTCCGCTGCATTCACCTGCCGCTCGCTCGCCACACACTCATTACGCCCACCTAGGGCTTTATGAAATCCATTTTAATTTTTTCTAGATTTCGTGTTTTCCATTTAAATTTGCATAATCATGTGCTAGACAAATTAAATTTCAACAATTCACTAAGAAAATAATACAAATTCAGTCAATATCAATGAATATGATGTGTCATGCAATTATGCATACAGAAATATTCAAATAAATGTGCAATTATCTATGGAGACAATTCAAAATAAATCTGACTCCATCCACACAGGCACGAAATCAAGGAGTTTGCATCTTGTATCTGCCGATGCACATCTGACAAGTTTGTTAAAGTGATGAACTCTTGTTAGCGTGGCGTCTTCGATGTGATGTGTGTTTGCGTGTGTGGAGGAGCCGCTAAACCCGGCCCTCGCTGAGGGCTTAGTTTTGTGCTGTGGACAAAATCCCTTATAATGCTGGGAAAAGTGCATCCACATTTTGTCAGATTCCTTGATATTCCAAGTTTTACAGTTAATTCCATTTTTATTGTCAAACTCCGTGATATTGGCATCCTGGAAATCTTAGGGAAAAGAAATAATAGGCTTTTAGTTAAACAAGGGTTTTATGGCTGATTTTAGGTATCGTACATAGACAAGAATTGAACGTAGTCACTGTGAAGTCACCCATTGGTTTCTTGACTGCCGATTTGAAGCCTAGAGTTTGGCAATTTGGCTTCTGCCGTGTGGATGTGACGATATTTGGTGGCGCTTATTCAGGTTAACTGTGATTTTTAACCGGGATGCTTATTTTAGCTTGTGACAAGCAGAAAAGCAAAACGTACTTCCTGGAAAGAATGAACAGCCGACTCCTAATAAGCTTCAGCAGATTAGGGATGTCAAGATACCAGAGATTTAGTAGTCGACGCAGATACCAGTAAAATTACATTCCTTTCTCTATACCAATTCAATGCTACAGTGAAAAACTATTTCACAAAACAATTAATCTCATGTACTTCAATGTACTCTCTTTTAATAAAAAACATTTTAACATTACAAAAAACAACTAACATCTGTGAATGTTGTGAGAGGATGTCCAGGAAAGATGAGAGCTGATTGATGTTAATCTATTCATAAATGAGCAAGCTATTGAAATTACAACCTTGCACTGTCCATATTTAATTATTAAATTAATGAATTCATCTTTTTGATTGAAATGTATCATATTGCACTTTTGAGACGGCCCCTATCTACACCTTTAGTAAAAGGCGCGCTAGACAGACATTCAGTTTGCAGTGCTGCAAACTACATCATCATCTTTGGTGATATTCAGGTGATCAAAACTGTGAAAAGTCTGCCTAAATTAGCTCTCCAACTGTGAGAAATCAAGGTTTGACACGGAGCTACTGAGTTAAGAGCCGCGAAACTAACTTCACCCTGGTTTCCATTCTCTTTTCTATTCTCGATAGTCAAACGGGACCTGTTGCTGCAGCTGCACTTATCTTCCACATGTTGGGTCCCCAGAACCTTTGGGGCCTTCCAAAATGAGAATCGACATGTTTTCAGAATTTCTGTATCTATTTGGTACCGCAGTATCGGTTCTTTTGTCATTCCTACAGCCTCTATCCTGACTGTCAATCTCAAGTTAGTCCCGCCCTTAAGCATATCCTTTTTTATACACTATTTTCCTCTAAATGAGACCATAATTTACAACATGAACCTCATGCTGTATTGAAGAAGACCTGAAACTAGCAACTGAGACCATAAACGCATTATGAAAGGGCTTACTGAGGTATTAAATCAGGTGGGAAGAAGGGTGATTTTAACGTTATTTCTAATGAAACCGGGTTGGTGGAGTCGCCCCCTGTTGGCCGTTAGAGAGAATGCCGCTTTAGGTTACTTCTGCATGGTTTCGCCTTTCAGACCCGGATGTTCCCGCTTGGCTGCAGCTCTAAATCAAATCCCTTATCCCCATATTATTATTTTACAAACTACTGTAGCTCTCATTTTGAGCACGTTTTCCACGACATGACTGCGGTCCCCTAAACTTTCGTCACACGGAAGTGGGCGTGGTTTAATCTATAGACTCGCAGCGACACCTTGAGGCCGCTCGGACTGTCATACACCAACAACATTATCTTTCTTTCTTTCTTTCTTTGCAGGTGGCGAAGTGAAGCTAAAAATGTCCCAGCGAGTGCGCTCACTGCTGCAGGTTATGTATTCAGTTAGGAGAAGATGGTGTCGGTGGATTGTAGCAACGTTATGTGGAAAGATCAACAATGAGTCAGGCGTGTGTGTCTGTCTGTGTGTGTGTGTGTGTGGTGGAAGAGGAGGCCCTCAGCATTATGCTCCGCTGCAACGACCAGTTAAATCATCATGGTCTGTCAGGATGTCATGCTTTTTTTTTTTTTACGGTGGCGTGTCTCGGTTGACTTACCTGTGTGGTCGTCCGTTTAACTTGCCAACGGGGTCTTCACGCTAGATGATTAACTCCCACGCAAACGGCCGTTTACACTGTAACGTTAACAAGCCAGCTAGCTAACAGCTTAATTCACTGCTTAACTCAGATGTCTTCACTTTTTTTTTTTTTTTTTTAATCCACTGTTACTTTGGATTGGTAATTTTGCGGTCAGCTGTGGCGATCATGTTATTAAACCCGAGTAGGCTTGGCAACCAGGCAAAAGTTGTATGTTAGCTGGCACGTTTGCAATTTAACGTCAGCTTATGTTGACAAACAAGCCTGCGTAGTTAGAAAAAAAACAAAATCACACGCGACTTGAAGCTAGCAAATGCCAAGGCTGCCAGCACGGTTAGCTTAGCCAGCTAACACAGCTTGCTAAAATCCAAACCTTTTTCCGAATATCCTTTTTCCACCCACTGTGCTCCGACTTGTATCCCATCGGCAGCAGCAAATCTTAAGTAACTCCCGGAATCACTTGCGGGGTGGTTTCTGCGTTTCAATGACGGCGCACTCGCGTTTGCAAACCCAAGTTATCGCTTTGGTCTCTGCTCTCCGCCATTTCCAATCTCTCAACACAAACAAACAGGGCTGCTCGTGCACGCCCACCGTCGTGGCGCGTTCACGAGGATGGCAGACGCTCCTATGCTGTGAATAATATAGTGTTGATTATACGTTATTAATGAGGCGTTTGCATTAACACGATACCCACAGCATATATGCAGGAAGGACATTATAGAGAGTAAATGGAGTAAAGTGATGCACTGTGCAGAATTCATAGTGTCTGATGCACTGTATAATTCATAAGGGCACAGTGTAGGGCTAAGATTATATTCATTTTCTCGATTAATCCATTAGTTGTTTGGTCTATAAAATGGTGAAAAATGTTTCACAAAGCCCAAGAAGACGTCCACAAATGTCTTGTTTTGACCACAACCCAACGTTATTTAGTTTGCTATCAAAGAGTTGCAAGGAAACCAAAAAATATTCACATTTTGAGAAGCTGGAATCAGATGATTTTGACTTTTTATCCTTAGAAAATGATTATTTTAATAGTTGACAACTAATCAGTTAATTGACTAATCATTTGCCCTCTAGTACAGTGTGTGTACTTAACTACAAACTAAAGCTTACTTTATTGTCTGCAATGTGGGAAATTGTTTTTGGCTTCACCACACAGCATAAAAAGACATTTAATGAGCAAGCAAAAAATAATTAAATGCCAGAGTTGTAACTACCTTTGAGCACACAGAAGTCATGGCCTCTGATTTATTTACCTCCTGGGAATTTGGGATTTAACTAACCTGTGGGGAGTTTACAATAAAAATCTTACTAATTTACAAAGCTGGTTCTGTTATTTTCACCTAGTGTTTTCAGTCCATCCAGTATTCTGGATTGAGCCAAAAGAGTTTTATTCCAGGTTGAGGGGCCTTTTAAAACCAGATCTGCAATTTCTTAATAATTTCCTATACGAATGTAATCAGGTAGCCTACTAATATCTAGGGGTGTGAATCTAATGTTCTGATTCCGATTCAAAGAGCGAAGGTGCGATCAAAACGATTATCGATGCATCTTGAGGCATCAAAAGTTTTGATTAGTTTTGCCTACAGATGCACTGTAGCTTCATAATTCATGAGGGTACAGTGTATGTACTTTATTACGTACGCTTACTTTATTGTCTTCAGTGTGGGACATTGTTTTTGGCTTCACCACACAGTATAAAAATACATTTAATGAGCAACAAACATTATTTACAAATAGATAAATGCAGTTAGTGCTCAAACCAGAGCTGCGGCCACCATTGAAGACACTGAGGTCACATCCACTGATTTATTTTTCTCATGGGAATTTGGGGTTGAAATAACCTGTGGGGGGTTTACAGTTAAATTTTTTCTCATGTATAAAGCCGATTCTGTTTCCACCAGTTTTGTGGATTTAGCCAAAATAGTTTTAATCCTGGCTGAGTGGCCTTTAGTGAAGCATTAAGTGAAATAAAACAGTAAGACTTTATATAATTAATTAGTAATTTCCTAAAGAACTGTATAATCAGGTATCCTACTAATATCTAGGAGTGTGGATCTCGTGTTTTGATCCCGATTCAGATGGCGAAGATCGAACGATGTGATCAGTGCATCTTGAGGCATCAAAAGTTTTGATTTCCGCAGCCTACATGATGTTTTCTCACTGTGTAACTTTCAAGTAAAACATTGTATTTGTAACGATCCATCCATCAATCGTCAACCACTTATCCTGCATACAGGGTCACAGGGGCTGGAGCCAATCCCAGCTTACATCGAGCGAAAGGCGGGGTACACCCTGGACAGGTCGCCAGTCTATCGCAGGGGTATTTGTAACGATCCATAATTTAAATGAACATATAAATTTACTTCCATTATCTTTTTAGTTTAATTAGACAAATTATATTAGGGTTGGAAATGCAGACTATATATATTTTTAATTTGGTTTTTGAAAAATGTTGGCATATTGTCTGTATCCATCTTAAGACTCTGACCTGTTCATAATTCCTGATCCGTAACTTGTGCTTGTTTATAAAGGCATGCATGGACTCACATGTGATGGAAGGAGTGTGTCGCGTATAGGCAGCGGTGAACACTCTCACAGTCTGAGTCTGCAGTGGGAGGCTGCCTGAACGGCTACCAGTGTGTTATTATCCAGTTCCCTTAATTGGCACATTAGGGTGATGCTGTCCTAAATAAAATTTTTGTTCTTAGCGTATCACTGTTGACTTCTCAATTCAATTCAATTTTATTTATATAGCGCCAAATCACAACAACAGTTATCTCATTCTTTGCATAAAAGAGCAGGTCTAGACCGTACTAGTGTTGTAGTACTCCAGACCAGTCTTGGTCTCGAGACCGGCCTTAAGACCACTTTTTGATGGTTTTGGTCTCGTCTCAGACTCAACCCGCATTTGTCCTCGGTCTTGTCTCGGTCTCAGACATTGAGGACTCGGAATTTTATTTCAAGACCATAATTTTGGGAATATCAATAAATTGCTTTTGCATTGTCTGATTTATTTGTTAACATCCTGACTTTGGTTGTATGTAAAACGTATTGCTTCAATTGCAACTAATAACGCTAATTAAAAATGTGTTGTTACTGTTAATCATCCTCTCAGCGATGGTAAGCATGGAAAAGGAGTGTTGAATAAAGATGCTTACGTTCATTTCAGCTCTTGTATGTGGGTGTTTTAATGGGAATGTGGATCTTTCAGATCAATTTGAGGCCTACCTATGATCTCGTTCCACATTTTATTGTGTGTCATTTAATGTGGGGAACTGGTCTTTGTCTTGACTTGGTCTTGGTTGGGCGGTCTTGACTACAACACTAGACCGTACTCATTATTATAACAGAAACCCAACAATTGAATGACTTGAATGTAATGAAAATCTCTGGCTTATTAGCAGCCACCCAGAGTCTGTTGTCTCTCTGTGGTTGCCAATAGAGGTTGAATATCCCAATTAATATATAAAATATATTGTTATGTAATGCCCCTTTAAAGCTACTTAATCTGTCTTTTGATTGCAAATTGGGGACAGAACTCCCCAACAAGCTAAAAATCAGACATGTTCGACATATTGTGGGCTTATAGTTGATAATGTGGTGGCAAACTACACATCCAGCAGATGCAGAACAACCTTTTGACTTCAATAAGAGTCTTATGGCCAATAATAGATTCACTCTTCTTTAGCTCCATTTTGGCCTCCATCAACTCCTGGGGGAAATATCTGTAGCTGCTTGATGCTTCACTTTGTTACTAGGTAGTTGTTAAAGGGTAACTTTGATATTTTTCAACCTGAACTCTATTTTCCCATGTTTTTGTGTCTATGTGACTAATTGGGACATATTTTCATTTAATTGGTCCTGTATTGAGAGAGCACACTGCAGTCGGCACAGCAGCGGAACACGGCTGCAACATAAACCTTGCAGGCAAATGCGAGTCCTCAAAGAACAGTCGCTATGTCGCTCTCATCAAATACAAATCAAATAAAATTGTTGACAAAAATAGTAATTTTACCTCCCTGGTCTACCATTGCCTTGGTTGGTTAGTTTGTTTTCTTGCGACACTTTGGTGTTTTTAACTATTTAAAACACCAAAGTCACACAATAAAAACAATAAAGTAACACAATAACACAAACAAAATAACCAACCAAGGCAGCGGTAGACCAGCAACTGTAGTGTTCTGCAAGGTAAATGACTGTTATCACTGATACTTTTTGTCTTGTTTTGAGTCTGCTGGCTTTAGTGATATAGTGACTGTTTAAACAAAAACAATCTTACTCTTTAAGAGAAGGTCTTGCTCTGTAGGGATCGTTTACATAATGTTGTCAGACACTGAACCTGTCAGTGGGAAAAACAATCACTTTAGTAGATGTAATTTGACAGGGCGCAATTGCAAGGATTACGTTGCAGCCCTGTTCCGCTGCTGCCGACTGCAGCGCGTCCCAATTAGACACATACACACAAAAACATGGTTGAAAAATTACCCTTTAACGTAGTTGTTTGGTGGTGATAAGGCTACAGTAGTTTGTTGGAAACAAGGTTGATGAGAATAATGAGACTGAAGCAAAACAGTAAAGTTGTGGAGCTTAAAACCAGCTGAAAAAAACGCTCTGTAGAGACATTAAACCATTGATCATGAGTATAGAAAGACTGCAGCTGTTTTGATGAAAGTAAAGAAATGTAGCTGTATGAGCTTCTGTTAAGTCTGTTAAGTATCCTCAGACTTCATGGCTGCTCCACATTGTTCTGAATATTGTGATGAAATCACATGTAGGAACCACAGTAGCGTGTGCATGGGCGTGTCTTTACGAGACATTCTGGGAAATACCCTGAGAAGTAATTACATGTGTGTAATATGTTAATTGGTCACTTACATTCCTTTAGAGCTCTTTGTCTTGCTTCAAAGTTCAAGGTTGTGACTCACTCAGTTGGAATAAGGATTCATGACAATTCTGACCGCCGGAGCTGCTGTGTTATTTTTTGTTTTTCTGTTTCAAATTTAATAATTGTTGGTGAGCACCTTGTTAAAGCATGCCTGAAAAACATGATGTTGAATCTATTTTTAAAAACATTTTGGTAACTGCCCAAATTTACTATATGAATGACGGCAGGCTTATTCACAATATGCAACTCACCCACAATTAATTTTCTGCCACTGTGCTCTCTGTTGGCTTGATTCCCAGACATTTTGGCTGAGATACTTGTCAGTCAAGGACTCCAAAAATACCCATTGTCAAGCTTTAATATCTTCTCGGTGAAACAATAATTTAAAAATCAGCCCATAAATGCGCTGGAAACAGTGAAATCAGTTATCAATTATTTTCTATAAACTCACTCACACCGTCATGCAGCAAAGACTGAAAGGACAGTGGGAGTGTGAATAAATTCTGCTGCCATTTTGATACAACTGCACCCAGCCAGAAAATTCATGCTGAAAAACATTAATATTTAGTTATTTATATAGCAATTTAAACGAAATAAGAAGCTGGTGAGGGCGGCATGGTGGTGCAGGGGTTAGCACGAAGGTCATGGGTTCGAACGCTGGTCGTCCCAGGCCTTGCTGTGTGGAGTTTGCATGTTCTCCCCGTGTCTGCGGGGGTTCTCTCTGGGTGCTCCAGCCTTCTTCCCACCGTCATGCATGCTATTTACGGTCCTGCGATGGACTGGCGACCTGTCCAGAGTGTACCCCGCCTTTCGTCCGATGTCAGCTAGGACTGGCTCCAGCACCCCGGGTCGCCGGGGAGCTGTATGTATGCATGATAAGCATTTGACAATGTCTGAGTAGGTGAAGAAGCTTGTGCTACACAGAGAGTATCTGCAGCCACTTTCAAAGGCTGTTTTACTGTTTTGTTTGTGGACATTTTTAGCTGGCTGCTCCTGTGTCACGCTCAGTCGATTAGTTGAGTGGCAGGGTCTAGTCTGAGCTCTGACTGCCGCCCTGTGGCACTCCCACCCCATTTTGATGCAGTGCAGTTTGTGGATTTCAGCTCAGCATTCAACACAATCTCCCCCATGAAACTGATCAGCAAACTCAGCACTCTGGGCCAGTCTGCAACTGGATTTTAAACTTTCTCTCACACAGAACCCAGACAGTTTGGACTGGCGGGCACATCTCCTCTACTCTGTGCTCAACACGGTAGCCTCCCAGGGCTGTGTGCTCAGCCCATCCTGTTCACGCTGTACACCCACGACTGCATCCCTCAACATGAAGAGAACTCTGTTGTGAAGATTGCGGACGACACCACCATCATCGGCTGGATTTTAAAAAACAATAAAACTTCAATCGTCACTCTTGCAGAGTGGTGCTCAGAGAACAACCTACTGCTCAACATCAGCAAAATCAAGGAGCTGATTGTTGATTTTTGGAAGAAGGAGACAAAGACACACACTCTTGCCTACATCAGTGGAGCTGGGGAGGAGAAATTAGAAGAGAGATGCACAATAAATTGTTATGGCCCCGAAGACAGGAAAAAGTGTAAGGAGGCACAAAGATACTTGAACGAATAGCTATGGCTGCGGGGAGGGGTCCATAGAGTATGCTTATGTACAGTACCCAGATTTCTGTGCGACGTCCCTGTATGACGGTATCAGTAGTCATTTTCATTATATCAATAGCAAACACTGTTTGAACAATCAACAAGTGGAGCTGAGCTTTACATTACAAACAAAGTTAGAGTAAAGACTGGCTGGATAAATAGTTGTTGAGTAATAAAGTACAAATAAAACAATTTTGGTAATTCATTAATCGTAACTTTTTGAGTAAAATGCCCCTACTTTCCTACTTTTTGAAGGTTTGCTGCTTTTCTTTGCGTTTAGTGACATGAAACTGAATATGTTTGGGCATTGGATGTTTTTTTTGTACACAACAAGCAATCTGATGGCATCGAATTTGGCTCTGGATAATTGTGAAACTATTTTATTATTGACTAAACAATGATTTTATTAATCAAGAAAAAGTACTGTATGTTCCCAATCAAATGCCATTTATAGTTTCACTAACAAATGCTATTGTTATCTCCCGATTATAGAAAAGAGAGAGTACTGTATGTGTCAATGCCACCAAAGTACAGCACATGTATGACAATATTTACAGTGTATAGTTACAGGGAACGTAGAATCACGTTTACACAAAGGTAAGTAAACACATATGCATAAATATATTTCCTTAAATGTTGTCTCATGACAATTTTGCGATGAATTCTAAAGAGGACTTTGTGTTTTAATTATAGATGAATTTTTTTTACCCTTTTTTTACACAGAAAAACAGAGGCGATAACAATACCACGAACTGCTGGATTATGTGCAGCGAGCAGATGAGCAGTTCTGGGAACACATCGGAGAAATGAACACTGATGTATTTAATGAAATGGATGAGGACACAATTATCTGCTGGGTCTTGGCAGGCGAGTGGTGGCTGCCTTTGTTTTTATCTTTACTGTACATACACTTGATAAAGTATTTTGCTCATTGATTTCTATTGAATGGTGTTTCTCCCTCCTAAAATAAAGGTCTCTTTTTCACAGACCATAACAGCACGGAAAGTCAATTTGGTAACAGTTGCATTAACTGTTTTATCACCACACTGCCAGGTCACAACAGGGCCCCAGAGAAAATGAGGTGAAATGGTAAGGTCAGCTGTGTAACGTATCAAGTCGGGACTGTGGGACAGTTGCTGGCACCTCTAGTTGAACAACAGTAAGTATCTACCAGCTGTTCATACTAATTATTCACTTACAAAACACAAATCTTTTTGGCAGTGTAGTGTGAGTTTATCTTTGACAAAGAAGATGCCGGTGAACCACCAACTTTAAGACCAAGACCCAGGGTTAGTCATTCGTTCATTTCTTTGAAGTAAACGGTAACAAAGTCATGACTGCTGTTTCTAGATCAGCTGAAAAATAATTTTCAGAGACAGAGAAAGGACATCATTATTGTTAAGGTACAAGCAAATGAAAGCTACTCCTTGGTCAGTGGTGGAAAGTTACAAGTACACTTACTCAAGAACTTAAAGGCAGAGCGAGTGATTATGCAGGATTGTTGATACTTAAGTGCCAAACAAATCTCATTGCTCCCTCAGATGCTCTGCCCTCCCCAAATTCAAATCTGAGGTTTCTCCAGTTTGCCTGGTCATATAACTTGTTTCTGTTTTACTCTTCAGACCTTTTCCCTCTTTGGCTGTTTCTTCACAGTGCCTGAAGTCCAGCATGTTCGAATGTGCCGGTGTATAGAACTCTCTCTCTCATCACTCTTGTGCACGAGCACTAACGCCCCCTGTTGCTGATTGTTGGAACAACATTGTGTGGCAAGGTCCACACCACTTTCTTTATTTGTTTAACATTTACAGAACCAGGGTATATTGGATAACAATCACTTACTATCCCTTTGAGTACAATTCTGAGTACTGTGGTGTATTTTACTTTAGTGTTGTAAATTACATACAAGATTTTAAAAATAATAATGAGCATTTAAAATACAATTTATTGTTGTACAGTAAAATAAAGCCACCCAACAGTGTAAATATTATTCAAAGTAGCTCTTCTGCAGCTAGCTACAACATTTAAATATATATATAATAATAATAAAACAAAGGCAGCCCACTTTGGCTGCATGATGAGTACTTTTACTTTTAGACTTTAAGTAGGCCTACATGCATTTTCATGTGTAATTTGACAGGTAGATGGTGTTTAGAAGTCTTGCAGTAACAGTTCTTAGAAATGTGGCTGGGGTTTTGCCCAACTGGATAAGAGATTTCAAAGAAGAATTCAAGGGAATTGAGTGTTTGTGATAAGGAGTGTAAATCCACGTGTAAAACATTAACTCACGTGAGTGAAGCAACAACAAAACGTGACTAAGCCGATAACTTTTATGTCCTTAAGTTGAGGATTGGCAACAAGATAACATACACTTCAATTACAATGTATTAAACAAGGATGGTTTAATTACTTTATATGTTAATGAAAGATTAGATTACACCACTTGAGAACTGTAATAATGTTTTGTGACTACAAGTCAAACCTTTAATAGCAGTAGCTGGTGCCATCCAGCTTTTTTGTGTGGAAATGTATATATGTAAGTACAACTCACCTACTTAGTTGTGTTAACATACTGTGGCAATATCAATGACCTACTTTAGTATCTAGCTATACTAACATAAAATATCACAATTACAAGACAAATGCAGCCTTTTTGGGGTTTTTACCACCTGAACAAATTAAACAAGAAAAGAAAATTATATTTTCCAGCTTTAATCTTGGAAATTACAGATGTTTGGATGTACTGACAAATGCTGTGGCGCCGTCAGTAAGAGCACAACTGTTAGATGCAATTAGACATGTGGCTTCTTCTTTGCTGACATGCTCTGTAGTTCATAGCTGGACAATGTCTTTTAGGGCTGTCATTTGAAGAGTTTGAACTTGCGCAGCAGCGGCTGGACAGTCTCTTTTGGACATGGCTTCAGAGCCAAGCAGGTGGGGATGTTCTCTGGTTGTTCGATCCAAAGCTTGTGGGCCACACCAGCCTGTGTTAGATTCTCTGATAGACTGGAGAGGGCGGTCTCGTCTGGAGCCTGGAGGAAAATTAAATACACACAAGTACAGTCAACTAGACTTTTAAAAATCATTTAACACATTTAAGACTTCACCAAAGATTGTCATTATTTGACATTTCACTCCGGTGCTCCATAAGATCATTTTTTTTGCTGTTTCCGTCTAAACCACATGTAGCAGTGAAATTAAAACCTCTAAATGCATCATGTATTTATACAAATTTTCTGAATTAAGTAATTATTGAATTTCATCATAGTAAAATGTCCTATTCGACTCGGCTCTAATGAAGAGCTGGTTTCATCTTATAACCTTAACCATTATCATTTAAAATATAATAATTATATCAACCCTTAATATGATTTCCATCTCAAGGTTAAAATGTGTTATAATTTAGTTGCTCAAAGATATCTGTATCACTACTTCTAACCCTAAATATTGTATGGAGAAATACCAAGCTCCATTCGAAATTTCGTGATTTAGATTGATTTGCTTATCAGCACATATTTATACCAGCTGGAAAACCTTTCATGGACTTATATCTTTAAAGAGTGACGGGGTGAAATTCGGCACTCAGCATACACTCCTGACAGAACTTTTACATTATGAAATCCAGGACTTTTTAAAATCGCTTCACCTTTAATAGCGAACTTAGCCAAAACCAATGGTGGCTCGTGCAAAGCATAATAGAGTTTAAAGGAATTTAGCGTGGCCGAATAATTCAACAAACCCGAATAGCTTTTAATTTGTGATTACCTAAATTGTCATAAACGATTTCACCCCTGTACATTTGTTGACAAACCGGGCGGCGCTAAAGTGACGAATATTTGAATGGAGTCTTGAATGGTGCTTACCCCAAGCACCACTTTATGCATTGAGTCCAGCTCTGCCAGGTACTGCTGTGTGTCCGGGTCTCCGTAGTGAAGGTGAATGGCGGCGGTGGCAGCATGACAGGCCTGAGTTATAACTGCTCCCAGTGGCCAGGACAGCTTGTGGACCAGATCCGACCGAACAACCACATACTGGACCAACCGGCTGGGAGACCCGGCTCCTGTGGCTGCCATTTTCAGCCAATACAGGAACGTGTGTTTATTTTCCGGTTCAGCCGCTGTGTGGTTTATCATGAAAGGATATTACGTTACTGCCCTCTACTGGTTACTTTTAACTCAAACCTTCATGGTAAAACCAGTTTGACTACATCTTGTACCAGCAGAGGAACAACCTCTTCTCTTAATTGCAAACAATAGATCCAGTAGGCCTATATGTAAATACACACGTGTGTAGTATGGATTTATCAACCCATTATCTCCTTCCAAAATAGTTTCCTAAACACAATTAGGACATATAACCATTTTACATTTTAAAATGTCTTTGTAGTTTAAACAGCTGGTATAGCTAATTACATTTACATTTTTTTATATTATTAAGACCCAGTTTTACATTTTTATTTTATTTTTTACATTTACCTGACGATTATCCAAAGTGACTTAGAATTGCTATACATGTCAGAGGTCGCACGCCTCTGGAGCATCGTTGGGTTAAGTGTCTTGCTCAGGGACACAATGGTGAATGGGTCACAGGGGGAATTGAACCCTGGTCTCTCATACCAAAGGCAAGTGTCTTATCCATTGTTGTCTCACTAGCCTTTTCTTCTCTTCATCATCTTCTATGCTTCTTGTCTGGCTTTATGGCAAACTAGACACCTGTTGGCATGTCGGCGTCTCACAATTACTTGCATTCTTTTCAACTGCTGGCTCAGTATTTTTCATTGAGACAACACACCTGTATATATTTTATACATTAAAAGTGTTTGTTCCTTCACCATCTCACCTTCTGTATAGCTAATTATTTTTGTTGTGCTGTCTTGATCAAACAGCTCAATCCACGTTTAAAACCTTTATACCTTTGTTAGTACACGCGGGTGTCAATAAGTTCCTTTTATACAGACTTTTTAGTCAAACTTGTGGTAATGGCAGTGACAGTCACCACCTCAAATGCTTTATTACAACACTGGGAGAAACCCTTTCACTGCAATCTGCCTGGGCAAAGATTTACTCACTAAGATCATTCAGATAAAGTTGTTCAGTGTGCTGTGTGTATTGTAATATTATATTCTATTGACAGTAATGAAAGGCAGGCTGAGGATGTATGGAAGTTTATTAATGACAAAAACTAGTGAGAGCTAGTTTTTGTCAGTCTGTCAGTAAGATTGATAAGTAGATTTGCATGTGCAAAATACGTTTTGAGAGTGTGCAGAGTCAAAATTGTAGACCTTAAGATATATTATGCCAAGATCTCCTCAGTGTTTCATCAACATTTTGTCCTGTCCTGATGAAACCAGTTTGATAAGCACTCACTCACAACTTAAAACAAATTGTGGCCGCACATCAAACATTTTAAACTTCTTCTGCATCAAATTTGCAGTTAAAACTCAAATTGTTGTAGCTCAATAATGTTGTTGTTATTGAATTTCTATAATCTTGCGTCTCTTAAAATACTTTGCCTTTTAAATGAAATGTAAACCACCGATTCACTTCAAATAAATAACAAACAAACACAAGTAAATGTCACAATAATTATTTATTAAGCATACACATTATAATATAAATATAAAATATGCTATTTTTGTTTTTAAAATTGGTGAGACATCATTATATCTGTGTTGAGACAGACAACCATACAAACAGGTTTTAATATTCTACCAAAATCGGCTGAAACTTCTATGCAGCTGTAACAAACTTGCCATGATGGTGTCATCCTAAAATCAGAGCCTGTATTCATGGAGCATGTCAGAGAAGTGTAACTGATCTAGGATCAGGTCCATGTAAATGTCACCATAAATGAGGAGGCAAGCTGGTCTTAGATCAGCACCCCTAGTCTAAGATGCTGTATGCAGTGGGCCCACGTACAGAGAGAGCACAATAACCTACCGTATATTTCTTTATATATATATTTCTTACTGTAGTCCAACAATGGCAATTAGCAGCATGATAATGCACCACTCAGTTTTTTTTCTAGTTCCAAGAAACTGCAACATAAGTAAGGAAATAAAGAAATAAAATAAACATCAAACATACTGATGATCATTGTCACTGTACTAAGAGAGAAACTCATCCACAGTGAAACAATCAAGAGATAAACAATCAAATCAGATCAGAGTGATGACATTTGATGGTCAGGATTTGGGTTCAATTCAGCTTCACCTCAGTCAACAACAAGAAGTGGAAAATCATTACATTTTTACGAAAAGTTAAAATGAACGACATCGAGTTCTGTGCGTTTATTATCGACAGACCCATGAGATTTTATTCTCAGACCTTGAATTACAATTTCAGCTGACTGAATCTGAAGTGAATTGATCCCCAAACCATATCAATGACAATAAAGAACAAAGAGTTTGAACATTTTTTCTCTTTTTTTCTGCAATTTTTCTTAGGTTTTTTTTTTGTTAGTTCAAGTTTGGTTGACATGCTGAATTCCTTTGTGTTTGCAGGTTTGTGGTCAATCAAAAGGAAAAGTACTGAGCGAACCACTCCTGGCGCTGGGCGTCCGGGGAGTCGATGGCGGAGTCCTTTGTTTCAGGAGGGCTTTTGGGACAGGAGCGCAAGAATAAAATTGAAGACAGAAAAGACAAGTCAGGGAAGAAGCCAGAGGTTAATTCATAGTGTTACACATGACTGAACGGTAGGAGCAGTGTCAGGTTATCATTTACCCCCCCGGTGTTTTTTTGTCATTTGCCATTTGAGACATAGTCAGTTGTTGTACTATTACTATTATTACTACAGTCCTTTGCTGGACCTCCTCTATTTCTGTGATAAAAGTGTAATTTTTCCACTGAAACTATTTTTTGCTGTGTTACTTTTACTAATCAAAAGGTTTAAAGGTCTGTGATTGTGTAATCCAATGTTCTCTCCACAAGGGGGCAGCAAAGCCATTGTCAGGATCCAGTGAGCCACAACAGAGCAGAGGAACACATTCCCATCTCCATACTACATACCAATTATTGTATACACACAGACGGGAGAAAACTAATTAAAATAGAGAAGAAACATATCAAATGCAGGTGCTTCCACGCACCTGGCTCACTGAATGGTTTGGAGAGTTTAAAAATGATGTGAATAAAATGCTACGGCCTTTACAGTAACCACATCTCAACCAAACCTATAGAAGCCTTTGGACCAATGTATAAGACAATGCTACCACTATCTCTGTATATAATATGAACTTTTATCTTGAAATCTATTTGATTACGTCCGTGACTGTCTCTGATGCTGTATGTCCTTCTGTTATGTCTTGCTATGTTTGTTTTCGTTCCTGTCTGAGGTCTCTTTTGTAAAATAGATCTTGATCTCAGTGAGATGACCTGATTAAAAGAAGGTGTTACACATAAATGAGGGAATATCTTGTATTGTTCATCCCTCCAGTTCCACAGCAGAGCGGCATCGATTAATCGATTAGTTGTCAACTATTAAATTAACTGACAACTTTTTATGTAGTGATTATAACTGAGGTTCAGGAACAAGACCACGCCTCTCTCACTAATCCAACCACACCTGCACTTCACTCATTTCATCCTCCTGTGCCTCTCCAATTAAATCACGGTCAGCCAAGGCCTTTCTGTGTTCTCCCCGTGTTTGCGTGGGTTTCCCCCCCGGGCGCTCCGGTTTCCTCCCACCATCAAAGACACGCACGCTAAAATTCACAATAATTGTAAGTAATTGTTGTTTTTCTACCACATTAACCACAGAGGGATCATAAGCAAGACGCTTATAGAGACGTGCCCCCACCCTGAGTCTCAACCGCCGGGTTCCTAGCCGCTCCGGCCACCACGACCCAGATCAACCCCCTCCATCCCTTCCTCCTCGACCCCTCTGTCCTTTCATCCCCGAGCCTTCTCTCTAACCAAATGTTATACCTTAACTGACGTGGTATTAGTTAGCGAACAATCGATTAATCATTCCGAATAATTTTTCTAAGAAATTAAACATCCGAATTGTCTGATACCAACGACTGAAACGTAAATATTTTCTGGTTTCTTTGCTCCTCTGTGACAGTAAACTGAATATATCTGGGTTTTAGACAAAACATTTTTATTATTTTCTGACATTTTATAGACCAAACGACTAATCGATTAATCTAGAAAATGGTCGACAGATGAATCGATAATGAAAATAATCGCTAGTTGCAGCCCTATGCCACATACTTGGCAAAGAGCGCTGAAGAAGTTCTGAAGGCTCGTGATGGCCCGACTCCTCACTAAGACACTTCATGTTCATCCTTAACTCTGTCATCTGTATATACGGTATGAAAAAATATCCGTATACATGTAGACAAGACCTTAAAGTCTGGTCATCGTCTACATTAAATTTATTTGCACTAACAAGCCTGATATTTTTTTTAATCTGTGCCACTGATCTGCCACCAGGCCACAGCGCTGGTTTTGACACTGTAGTTTATTTTGACTCAGTCCCACTTACACGTCCAGCTTCCCCAAAAACTCACTAGAACACCAAATGTGGATTAATCCGCTGTTGAAAACAGTTCCCGACAAATGTATTATTTCCTCCTGTTTGAGTAACATTTGTTAAAAACTACAACAACCAGCTGTTTTAGTTAATTACTGAGCATTTAAAAAAATAAAAGTATATATTTTCAGTTGAAACAAATGGTATGGCATGGTAGGGAAGTCGGAAAGCATTCAGAGACGGATTAACTCATATAAAATCACTATTCTTATCCTTCAATGCAATACATTTTTAATTGTTTAAAATTGTTTAAAGTGTTATTTTGTATGCACGCTGGCTTTTTAAAAAAAGGTATACTACATTTTGTCCAGTGTGAACACACTACATACTCAAAAACCTGCCTAGACTTTGAGCTTATTATACGTTTCAGTGTATGGAGTTCAGCTGAGGAAGGCCTTGAGATGTGGTTAAAAGCCCTAAAAGACTTATGTATGAGTTATGATTTCTGTGTGTAGACGTGATATAGTACCTAACTGCACAAACTCTTCCAACCCTCATAAATATTTTTACTGGAAAATGCCATTTCCATGCATCGTTGGTGGTCTCTGTATGACCGGATGAAGCAGCACG